CATAGTGTACACTCCTTAGAGTAGACTTCAAAAGGATTCTCATGATGGTGTATGCTGTACAGAACTGTAAGGTTTCTTATTTTGGACTCTATCCATCGTCTGGTATATATGACAAAAATCAACAACGTTTCGCAGACTGGCTCTGCCTCTTTCTAATGGGCCCAACTGAGTAGGTCTATCTTGCCCCATCCACCTGAGGACGAAGACAGATCCAGTCTCCGAAACGTTGTGGTTTTTTGTCATATATACCAGATGATGGATAGAGTCCAAAATAAGAAACCTTACAGTTCTGTACTCCTTAGAGTCTGTAGCAATCTTTTCCTTTTCTCCAGGGCACTTCATGATAATGGGCACATAAGTAAAATAGAACTATCCAATCTTGATAATAAATAAACCTGTATGTCCTCTTAGATTATACAGTCTTGGAACTGTAAACCATATTAATAGGGCTCAGGATTACTGTGTCTTTCGACTTCTTCCAACGTCCGGTAATGTAAAAGACAAAACTTTTCAGAACCTGGATGGTTCCATCTTCAGGTGAGGGGATTCGAACACCTACTCTGTTGGGTCATTTAGAAAGAGCTAACCTCCAGCACAGTCAAGTGACTGAGGTTAGCTCTTTCCAAATGACCCAACAGAGTAGGTGTCTTCCACCCCCTCACCTGAGGACAGAAGCAGATCCAGTTTCCAAAGTGTTGTGTTCTCTAGAATAACAAATGACAGACAAAGTCCAAAAACCCAGTAATCCTGGGTGTTACACACCCACATCAGAACATTTCAGAATTTAGACTGGAAATGGCAGACAGTGCATTTCATCATAGCAGTCATGGGATATAGAATGATTGGTAATAAATGTAGTAAAGATGCTGGAGAAAAACTGGACGTAACAGATATAAGCACAGTAACAAAAACCTGTTAAAAGAAATGGCTAGAACGTTAGGAATGTGCCCCTAAAAATTGAATTTCAAAGTTCCTTTACCAATGTAAATCAAGGGATAAAATATGCCAGAACACTTTACAAAATTAGAAAAAGAAGGAATACTTATAATTGTTGTAAATGGATGATGATGATGATGATGATATTAACTGCAGTGACTGTATTAGATGCCACATGTGGACTGTAAGGTTCGCTGCAAAACAGTTAACTCCAACTCCAAATACCAGGATTATGAACTGTCCCCCAAGATAATTGATTAGAATGTTTCGGAGAATTCAATAAAAATTATACTTCTGGCATAAACTGAAAGAAATTGAGTGCTTAGGTTTTCATGCCTTGTGTCTAATGTGTAACTTCAGCTTTTGAGGTTTAATAGCATCGTATTTTGGACCCGTTCCAATTTTGAGTACATTGCAGTTGCCATCTTCTGGATAAATATGAGGCACAAGGAGGAGGTAGACCAATGTGTGGGTCTCACAATGCTAGTAAGAATTGGAGTGTGGAGAGCAGTGCTGTCGAACAGAGAGGGTTATGAAGAAGAGTCAGAGGAACAGATGAAGCCAAACTTTATTCGTTTTATATCTGCTGTTTTCAAACAAGTTTTTCATGTTTGTAACTCGTAATACAGTCGGGAGTCTGGAGTCGCCAGACAGAAGTCTGTGGTTAGCCGTTAGTCGTCAAGCACAGGAGCAGCAAAGGGAATCTCCATTGTTAGATGCCGCTTCCAAGCCACAAGTATGTGAAGACATAGCAAACAAGGAAGACTTTCAGCCTCTTGTGTTTATTTGTGGAGTGTGTAGAACAGTGAAAGTGGTGTATCTATTTGTAGCTAGACGTAAGACGCGTTCAATAAATTCAATAATCAATCCAAACTCCGTGTCTAATCTGGTAGGGTAGGGCTAAAGTGCTCCGCCTTTTCCAGTAAACTGTTTGTGATGTTTTGCAGATGCTGAATATAATATACCATGTATGTATATATTGTGGAGTATAGACCCGTTTCTAAATGACTTTAAAAAAGTAATATGTATTCCACGTGGAGACAGGTCGAATACCTTCACCATAGATCTGTGAGTTGTAGGAGGCGACGAAAAAGGAACCCAGTGCCTGTGGGTATAACCGGGCTATTCTGTTGCTGGGAAATATAAATATGGGGACCTGGCCCTCCAGGTTGCGGGAATCTCAAATCTGAGACAGTAAAATGCGGTCATGAATCCCGTGAGATCCGGACCGGAAAATGACTGCATTGACGAGGACCAGCAGTAATTGTAAACGACAGACCCATCCTTTGGTCATAGAGGATGTTACATATGGTCTATAACCACAAGTGTTCAGTTGAAAAATAAGATTACTTGTCGTGAGTCTCCAGGGCTTGTCGCCAAGACGAAGTGATTGGCGGTAAACCGCCAGTCTTAAAGTAACTCTGACTCTGACTCTGACGTTGCTAAGTGGCGACTCTGCAAACAGTGACAGTTTCTGGGCAACGGCTCGGTAAACACGTTCCCGTTGCTAGACAGCAGATTCTTAATAATGCAACAGTTGAATTACAGAAATGGAAACAGTGTGTTTCTATGTGGTCCTTGTCGAGATGTTACAAGAAAGGGACAAAATGTGGCATGATGACGGGATAGTTTATGAGGAAAAGCCGTCCGCTACTAGGTGACAGCTCAATGAACACATATTGCGGCCACTTATACACGCACAACAGTAGAAGAGAACAGGATCCGAACATCCGTTCATAGGACCTGAACCAGCTTGCGGCATCTCAATTGGAGTTGCCAAGAAAGCGATCAGGGACTGAACAGATACGAGAAATCACAAAAAGCACTAGGAATCTACAATTGGACTCAAACAGGCAAAGGGATTTGTATCAGGACCCTCTGCCAGAAGAATGAAGGACCTGTTGAAATTAAACAGAGATCAATTAAGATTGGTGGTAGGATTACTTACTGGACACTGCCACCTATAAGGACACCTTTTCAAACTGGGACTGACGGATGACCGAACGTGTGAAAGGTGCCTGCAAGAAGACGAATCAGCCACACACATCCTATGTGAATGTGAGGCCATAGCTTATTTCAATTTCGTCACCTGGGTCAGCTCTTGATGGAACCAAGTGACTTTTATGGCGCCCCCATAAATAAAGTCCTACATTTCATTCGAAGTGTAGGATTAATAAAGGGCTACTCCAGAGGGGAAGCACAATAGATCATTGAAGGTCGCAGTGCGAGGCCCGGATTTTATGGCCCACCACATACATACATACCTACATACATACTGTCGCATGTTGTCTGCAGTGCGAGACGTGGGTCTCGGATTTGGCGAACACGTTTATTAGCCACATTCACAATCACGGGTACAATTATTATCCACTTATAACATCGCCAGTATCACAATCTTCACTCTTCAATCTTCAACTGCGGCGGTTCTGAGTCTGAGTCTCATTTTACGACCGACGGTTAGTTTGCCAGTCTGTCTTGGTATAAAGCACACATCTGGGGCTTGCGACCAGATGTTTATTAGTTTGACAGTTACGGTCTTGTGTTTTGTGGACGCCCTCTCTGACGAGAGGACGGGGCTGTCATTTGTACATGCTGCTGGTCATGTACATGCTTTCGGAACCTATGGAAAAATCCGCCCTTGCCAGCCCCCTTATATAGACTTTACGCCGACCGGATACCAGACACGATTTCCCGCAGTTCCGTTTTACCGTTGTCACGCGACGAACTCCATCTCCGGGGAAACGCGTTCGTCGTTTCGGCCTTCTCTACGCAACGGTCTGTTGGTATTCGATTTAGCGCTGTGGGAACTCAACGATTTCCACGTATTCGTTGTCGCGGAAGTGTGTGTTCCCGCTCTAGCCCTTGCGCAGCGATGGGTGTACTATAACACGTCACAGTACATACATACATAATCAGACCGTTGCCTAGGGAAATGCTTAAGCAACAGAGACGGAATTGTTGGGTTCCCACAGCAACGAATGAGCAACAATAGGGCGTCCATTGCTAGGCAATGCATGGGTAGTCACACCTGACAACAATACGTGATATCGGTTGCCGAGCAGCAATGTGTTTTCTAGGGGTGGTCCTGGAGCAGTGAACACTGAAAAATTCAACGAGCGAAGGGAAGAACAAAGAACTGCGGAGCATGAGAGTAACCACTGAAGAGAGAACGTGAAAGGCGTTACTTCGAGTAACTACAGGTAACTGAAAGACTTGTCCTATATCATTGTATCATGATCTACAGGATTAATAAAAGAATGAATGAATTAATTATATTTGAGAGTGTTAACATATAATTGTCCAATAAACATTCGTCTAATCCGAAACCAATCGTTTCTTGCCGCATTACCCAGGAAACACGTGACAGAATGAACGAAGTGTCAAAATTAATATATAAAAACAAAAAAAAAACTCCGTGATTTCAGTCCGCAAGCGAAGCATACCGACCGAACGACTGCCGCTTGTCGGCGAAGTCCGCTAAGTTGGCACTAACTTCGCCGACAAGCGGCGGTCGCTCGGTCGGTACAGTTCACTTGCGGACTACAGGCCGCGGAGTTTTTTTTTTATTTTTTTTATTACAGAAAATACCCTAACAACTCGCAACCCAAGTAAGGAATGAAAGGGAAATATACAACTACAGTATAATTTAACTGTCAAAACTCCACAGAGATATTAGCGTGAATAAATTCAGGGAATGTGGCTGCTGTCAAACATTTTACGGTGAAATGAATCTCGCTTGGCTTGTTATTCAAGTACAATATAGATACGACAGGTACAGACATCAATCAGTTGCGAACTTCACGGGTAAGGTCCAAACCAGTCTATATCCCTCCACACGGTACACACATCCTCACATTCTCGCAATCGCTCGCAAAGGACCGCAATGTACTGTGGGAGCGGTGCCACGTAATGTGTGACGACTTCCGATAGGTAGTAGTAGCAGGATGATATGTGTAGTGATGAGGGGAAATGTGTATTTTGAAGCATTGGTTTAAAGTCAAACGTATGAGAACCTGGGTATGTAAATGAACTGTAAGATAATGCTACTATAACGGTTGTTGGAAATCAGTTTTCAGTAATGTATAAAGCGACCTGCTTAGACAGTTGGGTTGGTGGTGATTATGCAAAAAAAATATATATATATGTATGTTCGATCAGTGCATCGTCTTCGTATGTGTACTTAATTGAAGTGACGTGGAATGCCACGGTTTATTGACAGATTTTGGATACTTTGCTTTGAGAAACAAATGACCAGTCTCCCCAGTTTCGAGGTAGAGCATCTCCACCGTTTTATAATATGAGAAATCCTGCTGTACCAGTTTGTGTTCTGAGTTAATGGAATACAGTGCCAAGGAAAAAAATAAACATTGTTAAATACATATACAAGCGGAATGTTAACTATCAAAAGAAATACGCGTATGTGACCAACACAAATGTATTATTGGTCATTCATAGTTCAGTTTTTGCCACATTTTCATAACCTTTGTTAACCTCGACCCATGTTATAACATATATTATAATCGAAATCACTTTTCAGCATTGGATTTTAACAGTTACAGGTCTGGAGACAACATAACAAATGGCCCAGCCAAGTGGACATCCCAATTTCTTGCCACCTACTCCAGGTAAATGTCCGGCAAGTTCATAGCAGTTGGTTCTATTTGTATACGTACCAGAGTTAAACAAAATGTATTAGTTTTGGTTTTATGTGCCCATTAACTATGAAACAGTGTACTGGTTGCATACAGTGACAGCCCATGTTTGGGCTATAGATGTACAACAGTGATATGTATTGAATTAAGGTACTTTTGATATTCTTGTGTTTGTCCTTGGTAGTGTCCTGTTACTGCAGTCAGGTATGTATACTTTGATACCAAAAATTATCAAAACTAAAAGTCGAGAAGGACGCTAATTACATAACATATAATACTATCATTAAAATAACTTGCATGTATGTTCACAATGCAATGAACAGCTTCATATGTTCCTCTTTCTTGCACATTATTTCTATATCATTGGGATATTTGTTGACAGACGCATGCAGATGTAATAGCAGTTAAATATGTTTTTCTTATGTTTGGGTATCTTTAAATTTCTACAATATATCCAATTCTTTGACTGGTTAGGTTGAGATAGGATACTTTAACATTGTGTTTGTTTTGGTTATACAAGGAGGTTGTCTGAGATCCTCCCAAAAATCCTTTGGTGAATTGGGCTAGAGGATGCAGGCTAGGCACGTCATAATGCAGTCCTCACGTTTGCACCTGTGGCATAGTCAGCAGGCCAATAGCCTGTATGCATTACATTTGTTCTCTGATATCACCCATATCACCCTAGTAAATCTTCAGGCAGCTGTAATGAAGTGGATTTATATGTTACATGCCCATTGACTATAATTCCAAGCCTCTACTGCTGTATTAAGCATTCAGTCACTCATACTGCTGCATGTGTCAAAATGCCATTGTGAAGGTTACACATTGCAACAAGTGTTCATGGTGAGATTCATGTGAAAGTTATGAAAAAATGTCTGTATGCACTTCATAGTGTTACTGTTCCAAATGAGAAACTACTCAAACAAAAACTCCATGTCCTGTAGTCCGCAAGCAAACTATACTGACAAGTGACCGCCACTTGTTGGCGAAGTTAGTGCCAACTTTTGCGGATAGAGGGTGTCGCATGGGCAGCACAACTGATTCCCGTGGCCATTATTCTCAGTTTTCTATACCAGAGCTGCTATTTCTTTGAAATAGCTCCCAATTACCCTCACGAGGCTGAGTGTACCCTGTTCCAGACCCACTACTTCTCAGAAAGTCTGGTAGCACCAGGAATCGAACCCAGGAACTCCGACCATTAGACCACAGAGGTGCTCTCAAGAAACTACTCATACAGTTATAACTGCATTTAGAAAAAATAGAATTCTTACTGGACAGAGAAGAAGAACTGAATCAAAACACCAAGTGCTCATTGAGGAGACATGAGATTAAATCAGTGTTATGCTGATATTCTTATAAAAAAATCCTTAGATGCCTTGTAGAGGAGACTGGGCTTTAAAGTTTCTATGTCTTCAGAAAGGTACTTGACGTCTCACACCCCTATGGGCCTTCACGACCTGTTACAAGGATAGCTTTACCTTTAGCTTTACCTTACTTCATTTTCTTAATGTGAACATTTCATGGAGTTGGAAGGAATGCCTGCATAACAACACAAGGACTGCTCGAGCATGTGCTGTGATCTGGTTGTGTTTCGTTCATGATTTGTTGACCTGTTGGCCTATCATCTATGCCACAAGCCTGATTGCATGGAGTGCAAGATGATACAAGTACCCTGTGCCCTTTTCACCTAACTGGCTGAAGAATTTTTGGGAGGCTCGCAGATAACCTGCCTGTAGTAATTTGCTATTGAATGTAACTTTCATGAGAAGGTCAGTTGTGGATGTCATGAGGGGGATTTTGAAGGTGCTGATGAAGAGTGTGGCCATACTGTTGAAAAGAAGAATTGTTCTAGTCATTGCAAGTGTTTTAATTTAGAACTGTAGTGAGACTGGGATCTCATATGGTACAATAATGCAACATTTTGAGGTGCAACTTTTTTTTTGTGCTTCGTATGGGTTAGCACATAAGAAGCCATATATTTGTGGATTTCTGAAGTTTAAAAGTAAGATTTTTGTTTTCATTGATCCTGTTGAATATTTTCAATCAGTATAGTTTGCTTGTGGACTAAAACATGAGGTTTTTGTTTGTTTTGTTGTTTCCATTCTGAGCTTACGAGTGTATGATATTGCTTAAAGCTTATCTGTTATATTAATAATAAAAAATTATTCTCCTTTGGCAGTATTTATAGACATGGTGTGTTGCAGGTCACTCCGTATCATATATCACAGGTCACACAATCAGACTTCCTTAGCTTTTAATGAAATTGGGTGTGGTACATCCTTTCATAGAGTTGTGTTACCATGCCAGAATTCTGATTTGTAGGTGCAGTAGTTTCTGACTTATTGATAATTATTGAATTTCTAAAGAAAAAAAAGTAATTTTATGATGAGACTTGACTCTGTCTCTAACTGAGACATGGCATTGAAATTAGTCCTCTTTGAAAAGGAATTTAATAGCCTTTCCAGTGATGTATTCAACACTACATTTAGAGGAAAGAACTTTCTGAGGTCATCTGATTAGATATTTGATCTTGAGTATTTCAAAATGTAGTCCCCAGCTTAATAAACTAATATCCATTCCACACACAGTATATTTTTAACTAATATTCCAGTTTCAAGTTGGAGCTGCCATGGGATATTTCAGTATAAAACCATACTGCAATGCATGCAGTAAGATGGGATATAATTTTAAATATGGAGTGTCTGAGAATAACCAAGCAAGTAAACTGTAACAAGGATAATTTCAGTACAGTTGCATTCATCCCTATAAATTGGAAATGGAAAAGTTATTGTTGACAGACCATGTTTTCCATAACAATCAAACAAAAATATGAAATGTGGTAAACTGTGGTGCACTTAATTAATTTTCATTTGTACTCAGGCATACTTATGAAAATACAAAAATGTGTCTATGTCGAAATTTTTACCAGTGTACATTATCTAAAAAGTCCTCCCTAAGTTTTCGTGGGAAGTTTGGGTCTTGAATATAAGAAGTTTCTTGATGTACCATGGTAATGCTCATTTCTTGGAGTTGCAAGCCTGTCAATCATTGGCTAGGTCCTCCAGGTATCCTCCTCTGAGATTACAAATTAACTCTGACTGCCGCGAAGGGTATTTAAATGCCACCCCTGTCCTGGCAGACCCTTTAAGCTTTAAGTCGCTAAAATGCATGCGTTTACTTTTTTTAAAATAACTTCAACAAAAGTTGGTTTTTAAAAACGAAATTTTCAGGAACTAATTAAAAGACAATATTTTGTGCAAAAAATGTCTTTTCATGCCTTTTTAGTAGTTTTTCTTCGTGTGATAAACATTGAAACATGAAAGTTTGCAGAGAGCCACACCACAGCTTGCACACATGACACTTGTTTCTTTTCTAATCTTGTGCTTAACACACATGCGACACTTTCTCATGACACCATTCTTCTTCTTGTTACTGGGAGGAACATGGACCATTTTGTGTATTTTCAGGCCATCCTCTAGACGATTTGCTGGGTCTTTCACTGGTGGTCTTTTCAAGGTCGCGGGCGGAGGCGTGACTGCACTCTAGTCTGAAGCAATAGATTCATCATTCACTTCATTCCTTGACTCTTCTCCCTCTCCACGCTGTTTGTTTGGTTCTGTCATTTTTTTCTACACAGTCCAATATAAAATCTTTGAATTTGTATTTTCTCTTGTATTTTTCCTTTGTTGTGTTCTTTTTGAATAGAATGAAATTATTCAACGCTGCCATTTGCAACAAGAAAAACACCAGTTTCTTTGTCCACTTTACAGTTTTGCGGGAACAAGGATAATAATGCAGCACTTGATCATCCCTGTCAACGCCTCTCATATGTTTATTGTAGTCCCCAATTACCTCGGGTCTGTATATTTTTTCTCCTTTGAGATTCATTTTTGCAGATTCTACAATTTTTGCTGTGTGAAGAGAGGAGATAGGTTTGACGTCTCTTTTATCTCTCCACACCTGTATGAGAACCTGCCCCTTCCTAGAAAACACAGATTTCCCTTTTTTCAAATTCTTTACAACATCCTTTAGTTCTTTAGGAGCTCCTCAGTCCATTCTGAAGGTACCACACAAATAGGTATTTCTCTGTAATAACATCTCACACAGTTCTACACTGTTGTAATAGTTATCCTGTTAGAGATGATACCCTATATCTAGAGGCTGTGGCCCCAACAGATCGACAACTAATTCCTTTATAGGTCCTGATTTTCCGCAATAAATTTCAGAATTCCAAATATATCCACTTGTCGATTCACAAACAAGATAAGCCTTTATACTGTACTTATCAGGTATGTCAGGCATATATACTTGGAAGATAAGATGTCCTTTCCAAGCGATCATTCCTTCATCTATTACAATTTCCTTTTCAGGGATATATGTGTTTCTAAATTTCCCCACTAATGAGTCTATAATTGGCCTGGCTTTATACAGGTGATCTTCACAGTCAGCTGGTTGTGCATCGTTGTCTGCAAAATGAAGACATTTCGAGATGGAACCACCGCAAAGACATCTTTTGTCCATACTATGGAGTGTGAAATAGGGGCCTAGTGGACCAATATTCTTCAATTTTGGGGCGTTTATCTATCCCTGTCATGAACACAATTCCTAAGTATGTCCACTTTTCATCTGGTGTGACATATTTGTAATCATGTTCTTGAGAGTGAGGAGCTAATTCATGTGTTTTGAAGTGCTGGTGAGCATAGCGATTGGTTTCAGTTGTGATGTGATTTACTAAGTCATCATCCAGAAAAATTTTAATCCATGAAAAGCAATGCATTTTATGTGTTATATGAGTTTTGATCCAGGAACTACTAGTAAATGGAACTATTGTTGGTACAATGTCTGTACGTCCATGAGATGGGCGTGTCAGGTACCGCACTCATGGTCACTAAATGTTCATGATTACTGTCTTGTGGATCATTGTCTATCACTATTATTGTCACTATCAATTTCATCTGATTCAGGAATCATTATTTCATCGCCACTTTTATCATCAGCACAAATCTCGTTCACAACACTTTCCAGCTGGTCTGTAGGAACACTCCGACACTTGCTGTGAGAAGCCATGGTGAAACTGAATGAATGTAAAATATTTTGTGACCTTTTCCTTCTCGGAGGGTTCTGACAGTAATATAGACCCCCACAAAGTCAACAAGGGTTCTTTACAACCATGCACAAAAACTATCATAAATGTTTCTTTGGTTGATGAGTGCCAAGACAGCAAAGAAGGGAAGAGTTTATCAAAGCGCTAAAACACGGCAACACCAGGGAATGGCTGGCATCGTCCGAGCGTAAAAACGTGCCCTTACCAGTCAGAAAGTTAATACATACTGTTTCAGGAGTTCTACATAGCCAATGACAGTCTATTCACTAGTTTTTATTTATTTTCAATAACTTATTTCCTGAATTAAGTGTTGAATCTTGGTTTTTACTGGTGTGCCCTGTAATCCATCTAACCCGTTGCCGTGGTTCGACGTGTATGTTTCGTCAGGGATTTAAATCGTCTGGGGGGGTTCGACGTGTATGTTTCGTCCAGCTGCACACCTACGTTATAACGCCCATAATAATTGATGGTTTTGCTGTAGATTGTTAGATTTTTCGCTGGCCTGTTGTCAGTAGAACAGAGTATAAATAAGACACGACTTTATCTGCGCCAAGTCATCGTTACATATGCCTGTCTTGCAGCAAAGTTCCTGTTGCTCTTGGGAGAGGTTTCTCCGTTCTCCTGTCATGAAAGGCCTGTTTTGTTTCTTATGAACTTATAAACAGCAGAGACGTGATATGTGCTTGTGTTTATAATATCATATTGCCCTGAGCTGGCAACACTAACACACTCAATTGGAATTCTTAGAAGAGGGATGTCCAAAACTTTATTGTTGCACGATCGATTGATTTCGCACAGTATATAGCACCCAGTTCTTAGAAAAACGTCACGAATTAAGGCAGAACACTGTGGTCACCCCCTGAGACGATACGGATGTGTGTGGGGGAGGGAAAAAAATCATTCCTTCATGTATTATCGCTCCAGTTGACGCCATTTTATCGTACTGACCTTGGTGGTCGTTTCGAGGGATGACCATAAATATTTTTTTGAGCCAGCTAAGCTCTGCTTTCGTTCACTACATACCAGCCAGTTCTTAGAATAACTTCATGAATTCTGTGGTCACCCCTACGACGTCTTATGCCGCCAAAATGGATGGAAAATGAAACGCAGAAGCACCAACACTTGTTATGATAACATGAAGGTCGAATTTACTGCAGCTAATCTGGGTAGCGATACGACTCACGGAGAGACATTTCTTCTTATATTCCCCCCACGGGGAAGAAGGCAGGGCCTCACAGAAGATGTTTTGTTTACGGAAAAAATAGCCAAATGAGAGATACGCAGTACTGGTATGGTGATGTGAGTCAGCGCTGTCTATAGTAGAATGCTTCAATGCGTGTAACACTCCGCTCAAATTCTGAACCACCACCGAGATACCGGGTGCTCATATTATAAGGCAAGGTTATAAAACCATCTTTTAAGATCATTTTAGTGAAAGTTTCATCCTTCAAGGCGTACCATTCACTGCTCAAATACTAAACAACCTGCACCCATGGCCGAGATACAGGGCTCCCATATTATAAGGTAAGGTTATAAAACCACAATTTAAGATCATTTTAGTGAAAGTTTCATGTTCCTATCTCATAGAATTTAAGAACAATGATGAATAAATAATTTTCGAGCAAAATTTAAATGGCCGGCTGAATATATTACCGCAGGAGCCGTGGCCGCGGAATTTAAATGACCACGTCAAAGGGTTAAAGAAAGTGGTTGTAATATCTATTGAAGAAATCTATGAGCTGTGCTTTTTTGGATGATAAAAGCTTCCCAATTTGAAACTAGAGTGAAAAGTATGGTAAGTGTTACAAAAAGTATAAAACTGAAGTTCCACAATAAAAGAGGTCTTAATATTAATGAAGGGCCACAGGAACAAAATCTGAATACTGATAAAGAACAGTAGTGACCTACATATTGCCATGGGCTGATTTTAATTATTTGCTTGCCAGTTTCAATCCATGAAACACATTTTAGAATCTGATTCTCTGAGAGGGAAATCTTATGGTTGTTTGTTCACAGCGCAAGGAGCAACTGGTTTTGGGACTCAGTCAGGCCCTAGTGTTATCCCCAATGGACAGCCACCTCAGTGGAATCAACCAGCAGCCTTCCCACATGCTGCAATACCCAGACAACCCCCAGTTGGATCTAGTGTAGCCACTACTGTTAACTCTAATGGAACACCAACCCCACCCAGCTATAGCCATCCAGGTTTGCTAATAATTGCCTGTAATTCTTTAAACCTTTCTTATGGTACAAACAGTACGTCAGTGTGTAGGAATGTATGGATTGTTAAACAGAACATTGAAATGGAAGATAAGAAAAGAGTTGTAGTTGAAATTGTTGTAAATTGATAACAGTTCACACACTTTTATATGTAAGTAAAACTTGGACTAAGAAGAACAACGGCAAACAGAAAGTTGTTTGGGTTGTAATGCCATGTAGTTTGGTAGAAATCCACCATTTTGGAGGAATGTAATCACCTCCATCTTTAGGGTCGAGACTAAGCCAAGAGTCCACAAGTGTTTTGGAAGAATGTTGGTGGACTTTTGCTGAACTATGCAGCATTACAGCACAGAAAATCATACTCTTCTTAGTCATCACTGTAAGAACCACAAGTCCAACACAAAAATTATCATAAAATTCAAATAACAAAAAAGGAATTTTTAAAGGAATGGCCTTAAATAACAGACACAAAAAATTAGCGCTTCATTACAAAATATGTAGCTATAGAAATACAGGGAAATCTTTATTTATATATTTATTATTTCTTTGTTTGGAACCTTGATTACCATTGTTAGAGAGGAGTGATAACTATGTATTAAGACTGCATTCTCCAACATCCCAAAAAACAGTAATCTTTGTATTCACTGTCATGGGAGCCTCAAATCTACCATACTGCAGCTTCACGTCTCAGAAGATAGTAACATTTCATTAATCTGGTTTTGTCACTATCACTATAAACTTAATAGTAGAAGGGTGGGTGTAATAATATTTGAAACAGTAGGATTACCTGATTCCAGGGTAATTTATTGATTCTTATTAACTGCAAAATTGCTATCATCAAATGAGTATTGGGTGATTATTCATGGCAAGTGAGTAATAATTAGAAAAGAACTGGCCATGGACTGCTTGAAAGTATTGTCTTTTTCATTTGTCTCGAGAAGCTGAACGAAGTTACAAAAATTCCATAGTGAGGTTAGCCATTTAACCAACTAAGATTGAAGTTAGGTACTTCAAGAATGCAGAACTAGAGCATTACCACTGAATTAGCCAGTTTATTAAAATAGTGATGTTAAAAAAAGGTAAAAAACTATCCCTGTAATGAGCCATAAAGGCCCATAGGGTTGTGAGACATCAAGGCTCCCTCATTTTCTCTACAGTCGGCTCACATGTGGCCATAAGGTTGTCAGCCTCGCACGCTGGCCACACTTTACCCCCCAGGAAGATTCCTGGTAATTTCTGTTAGAGGCTGAGTTGACCCCAGGGCCATGGTGCGGCTGGAAGGATTAGGTCAGTTGCAAAAATCCACCTCATCAGGACTTGAACCTGTGACCTTCCAGCTTGTGGTATAGTGCAACCAACTATGCAACCACATGCCCTAATGATGTACAAAAATAATTGGTTTCCTCTTGGTATGGATGGTGATTGTATTGAAATTTATTTTTTTCCAGGCAGCTTGTCTTCAAATTCTTCAAGAGATCCTTCACCCATTCCTCCTAATCGCTATGGCGAGAATCTTTCCAGTTCATCTCCAAATCTCATCATGTCTAGTAGTCATCCTCCAAGACAGAGAAGTCATCCACATCAGCAGTCATCAACACCTCCAGTGATGAATATGTCAGCACACAGAGATTCCCCAGGAACAGTTTTAAATACTTACCAGCACAGGATTGTACAGCAATCTGCAGGGAAACCTGTGTCTACAGTGTATAATTCCCCAGTAATGCTTCCATCCATAGTTGCCCAGAGTTCTGGTCAATCAAAATTAGTCGGTGGACTACAGAGTGCTTCAAACCCCCAATTATCAACAGGTAGTTCATTTCCTCCACTTCAGCGAAGTAATCTTACTATGGCGACAAGCTCGCATCAGTCAGCTCATGAAATAGGTCCACATGCTGTGAGTTATTCACAAGAAGTGGTTACACAAAGTGTTACTTCACAAAACATTCCTTCACAGTTTAATCAAAGTAATCAACAGCAAAGGTTAGGGACTAGTCATTTGCCTGCAAATATTCATCCACAAAATTTAGAACCAAGTTCTAATCGGCAGGAATTTAACAGAGGATCAGACCCTCCACAGGACCTGCCAGCAGGGATAAACTATGCTTCTCCTTACATGCAGACATCATCCAGTGTTGTCAGTAGACCTCCACTGCAACAGCAGCCATTGTCACGACAGGGCATAGGGCTCCCACATCAAAATACACAAGGCCAGAGCTCTACAATGTCTCCAGTGCCAAGGACAAATGCTCAAAGCTTTATACCAAACCAGCAGATGAACAGACCAACAACACAATCAGGGCCAGTTTATGGTATGCTACCAAAATCAGGTCCACCTGTCAGTTCACATGTGTCCAGTCAGCCACTGCAGCCATCATCTATGAGTCAACACATTTACCAGCCTGGAAATCCCTCACAAATGGGTAATCTCCAGACTGAGCCAGGAATGCCACCGGCAACTGGAGATGTTCAGAAACCTCCTCCTAGCATAGGCTATCCACAATCTCCAATTCCTACTCAGTTTCTAGCATCTCAACCGGCTGCCACTCAACATGATTCCGGTCATCACTTGGGGAAACGTTACCCTCAACAGGTGAGTTAAGTACTTGAAGATACAAGGTGAAGAGGATATGTATGTACAAATTCTGTGCTCAATTCGTGGAATGTAGTATAGCTTTGACCATTTGAAAAAAGTTCATTAGTTGAATGCATGTTGTGGAAGTTATATTTCTGTCCTTACATTTCTTTGAAACTACTGAATGGATTTTGATGACATGCAGTATAAAGGTATGCATCAAAATTAGTCAGGTTAATTTAATTTTGGTTTGTATTAGGTAGATATAACCCTCTCTTTAAAGAACACTTTATTTTAAATAATTTTCTCATATACAGCTCAGCAGAAGAATTATTGGTACATGACAAAATATAGAACTGATATAGATCTACAAATTTTATTTGAAACTTAAATATTTAGCAGAATGCAAGGAAAATACAATGCAAACACAATATGATGGTAATTTATAAAGTTTATAAATGTGCTGATGCTAATCAGGTGTTTGAAATATCTGAGAATGGTTAAAATACGAGGTGTGTTCAAAAAATGACGGGAATTTCCGTATTTTGGAAAAAATATTTATTCATTCGTCTACATTAATGTTGTCGCCTTCAAA